GGCTGCGTCTCAGGTCGATTAAATGGATTCCTTGCGTCCCTCACTTGCGTCGTTTCCCTGCGTTTAGTCCCTCCCACCAGGGAAGCATGGAGAGACGCAAGGAAACCACGAGAAGCAGGGAAATGAGTTTTAAGAGCAATGGGACGTCCTTTCCTCCGGAGCGTCACGTAAAGCGACGTCCGTTTGTGATGGCGCCGCACAGCTGTTCGTCTGACAGCAGCCAGCTCTGTCCCCGTTATTTTCACAAACATCCCCGCCTCTGTTAGTACACATTTACTGACACAAACATTTGTATCATCTGTTGTAGACCCAAATACATGAAATGCAATAAGAACTCATTCTCAAAAGAGATAAACGCCATTCTTAAAATGTATAAACGAACAATAGTTAGATTAATATTGATTAGAGTGCACAATAGAAATAAAATAATTCAGAGAAGAAAAAGAGATATGTTATCTATCAAAACCCAGTTAGATTAACATTCATTGGATTGCACACTTAGTTTGTGTGGATATGTAGCAAATTAACATGTTAAATAGCACTTAATGACTGACTGAATGGAAATGACAATAAATGAAAATGTAAAACGAAAAAGCGATCATGAAAATGTTTCCAATAAATTAATAAAATAATTTTTCATCACTTTGTTGTTCAGATATATCACATATTTGTAACTGAATGATGCATTAATTGAAACAAAACACAGTATAAACTGAGGAGTGAGTCCCGTGAGTTTCATGTGTTTTCTTCACTCCGCTGGGAAACTGCTCTCATGTCAAGAAGCATCAGATCAGTGCATGCGCTGCATCGTCCAATCAGTGAGCGATACACAGTAAGGGGGCGGGGCGAGTATCTGAGGATTTCATCGGAGGATGGTCTGGTAGTTCCTCGGTTATCGCTCCTCCATTATTGCTCCTCGCTCCTCGATCCTCGGTCCTCCGGCAGAAATAAGAGCCATGGGACGCTACTCAAGATGGCGCAGACAAATCAACTTCCGGTGAGACCGAGGACCGACGACCGAGGAAATGAAAATAGTCGACCTGAGACGCAGCCCTGGGGTGTTTCTCAATCGCGAGTAAAGCTGCTTCCGAGCCACTATTTCAAGCATACTACGTCATCGAGTGCCGCCGAAGTACTGTTCCAATCTCCAGTATACTTGGAAATCTACCGAGCCCGGCGTACTCCGTTTGGAGAAATATCGAGTCTGCACATGAGTGGACTTCGCGGCCTTAAAATCCCCACACGGACGGACCAATTTCCCCAAATCTGTGGCGGAAGATGTAAGGCGGGGCCTCTCATATGACGCACACCTGCACACTTGCTAGCGTGTTCCACACTTCGTTTTTCCGAATGCCAGGAAGTATTCTTGACTCGCTTCTGAAGCAAGATGCTCGGCAGACATGTGCTACCAAGCAAGCGTACTCGCGATTGAGAAACACCCCTGGTTTCCTTGGGTCTCTCCATGCTTCCCTGGTGGGAGGGACTAGTCGCAGTGAAACGACGCAAGTGAGGGACGCAAGGATTTGATTTAACCTAAGTGAGATGCAGCCCCTGTGTGAAGCTATCTCTGAGCTACAAACGATCCACTACCGCCCCCTACTGGCCGGACAGGGTCCAACACTGATCCACTGCAGATGGAAACATTACGCACTGTGTCAAAGGTTCAGTCAGTGTGTCATTAAATGTCATTAAAATACTGCATTTCATATGCTAGTAAACAAAGTGAACTACACATGCTAATTTGAAGGATTTTTCCAGAGCCAGGGTGGGAAGGCCGGCATTAATATTAAAATATTATTAAAAAATATACTCCCAACCGGATAGGAGGAAATAAAAAGAGAATAACTAATGTACCCTGATGTATAATTTAGGCAAAAATAGCAATGCAATGCATACAGTATGTGAAAAAATGTCTGGTATTTACGGTAAAGTGCTTGTGAACTATTAATTTATACCACTTGCTAATTTGTTCACCTCCTTAAAGCCAGTTGAGTAGCACTTGAAATGTTTTGGCTTTATGAAACCTGATGTACTTATATGATTCTGTTTTCTTCAAGTCTGTATCTTCCTGGTCGAATGCACTTATTGTAAGTCGCTTTGGATAAAAGCGTCAGCTAAATGCAATGTAATGTAATGTAAAGTAAGAAATCATTCCAATGTGTACTATAGGACAGTAAAAAAAAAACAGTTTAAAAGGGGAGTGATTAGTCAAATATGAATAAATAAAAAGAAAGAATGCTAACTAGGTAACATAAGATAAGAATAAACAAGTTTAAATGATTTGTTATTGGTTGTGATCATATTCTAAAGATGTTTGGATTATTGAAAAGTATACAGCTCCCTTTCATCTGAGTGTTGAGAGCTGTATCCATCAATTCATGTTGTGCTCAAAGTGCTCCAGATTGATGCATTTCACTTCAACATTTAAAAATAATCTTCCTGGGGGTGCATGCCCCCGGACCCCCCTAGAGGAGGTGAGGACCCCCCTAGAGGAGGTGAGGTCCACCCCCAAATAAAGCAGGTTAAAATTATTAAATTGCATACATGTTCTTTTAGTAAACACTGCAAACGGGTCCCACAGACCCAAACAGCAAACAGCAAAAGGTAAGTATATTATAATGTGTAATGAAAAAAATACCAATAACTGTATTGCATTGTTTTCTTATGCGCAATTACTTCATACTGTCTTTGTCTTTTTCGTCCTGCATTTATTGTGACCCCCTCAGAAAATAACTGGCCCCAGCCTGGCCCCCCCAGTCAAATTGGTCTAGAACCGCCACTGCTGTGGTGCCCTTGAGCAAGGCACTGGACACCGTGGGTGGGAAGGATCACATAATTAATAATTAATAGAACAAAATACACACAACTAAATAGAGAAAAAGAGAAACATTTATGTATAATGTAGGCTAAATAAGGTGAATGGTGTCCTTATCTGAGGACCTGTGGCTCAAAGACTGGATATTGACCATAATAAATCATTTCTGTCTTTTTGGGATGTCTGTACTTATTTACTAAAGTGTGATAAAAAATAGTTTTAAACAGTTACAGACATTTTATAATATTATTGTAAAACAATGCATATTTAAATAATACTATTCTCATATAGACACACATTTAAAGTTAATTAGTGAAATGTTATGTATTTTGAACAGGCTGCAACCATCAGGGTCGGTCAGATGCAACATCTGACATCTTCCTTTCAAAGGTATTTTGTGAGTTAAAGTAGAAGTACTCAGATCTTGTACTTGAGTTAAAGTAGAAGTACCAGAGTGTAGGAATACTCTGTTACAGTAAAAATCCTGCATTCAAAAGGTCACTCACTTACAGTAAAAGTAGAAAAGTATTATCATCTAAATAAAGTTAAAGTACCAAAAGTAAAAGTAGTCATTGTGCAGATTGGTCCATCTCAGAATAATATATATGATATGTTTTATAATATATATATAAGATTGATCATGAAAGTGTTCTCAAAGCTGGTAAAGGTGCAGCTAGTTTGAATGACTTTGTATACTGCAGGGTAGCTTGTGAATTTACTCCAGGTGGAACTAAAGTCTGATTTAACACTTGATTATATTTCACATCATTCATCCACATCTGTAAAGTAACTAAAGGTATTCAATACATGTAGTGGAATAAAAGTAAAAACTTTAACTCTGAATTGTATACAGTAGAAGAAGTAGCATACAATGGAAATACTCAAGTAAAGTACAACTACCTCAAAATTGTACTCAAGTACAGTACTTAAATTAATCTACTTAGGTACTTCCCACCGCTGATTATAATTCCACAGTGCTATAAGCTGATTTAAATAAATACAAATGTTACACTCATTGTGATGAATGTATTACAGACATGGGCGTATTATAACATGTGGTTGTGCTGTTCACCATCAGGGTGTGCTTTAGGTCTCAAACCGAAACTCAATGTTCACTCAGCCTTCACTGTTTCTACTGCAGACTGCAGACTTCAGTCCTTTAGCAAGACTGTGTTTCACACACACTGTTTCACTGTGTTTCACACACACTGTGTTTCACTGTGTTTCACACACACTGTGTTTCACTGTGTTTCACACACACTGTGTTTCACACACACTGTGTTTCACTGTGTTTCACACACACTGTGTCTCACTGTGTTTCACACACACTGTGTTTCACACACACTGTGTTTCACTGTGTTTCACACACACTGTGTCTCACTGTGTTTCACACACACTGTGTTTCACACACACTGTGTCTCACTGTGTTTCACACACACTTAAAACACACTGTGTTTCACACACACTGTGTTTCACACACACTGTGTCTCACTGTGTTTCACACACACTTAAAACACACTGTGTTTCACACACACTGTGTTTCACACACACTGTGTCTCACTGTGTTTCACACACACTTAAAACACACTGTGTTTCACACACACTGTGTTTCACACACACTGTGTCTCACTGTGTTTCACACACACTGTGTTTCACACACACTTCAAACACAGACTCTCATAGGTTTGATTTATTTTAGAGTATAAGGGAATATTATACTTGTAATGCCAGACAGTGGTGTAAAGTAACTAAGTAAATCAAGTACTGTACTTAAATACAATGTTGAGGTACTTGTACTTTACTTGAGTATTTAAATTTTTCGCTACTTTGTACTTCTACTCCTCGACAATTCAGAGGTAAATTGTGTTCTTTTACTCCACTACATGTATTTAATACCTTTAGTTACTTTACAGATTTGGATTAATGATGTGAAATATAATAAACTCTTAAATCAGACTTTAGTTACACCTTGCTTTTGAATGAATATAATAAGGAAATGTCTCTGAAACGCTCATGATGACCTCAGACAGTGTCCATGTTTTCAACTTGAACGCTTCAGACCACACTGTTTTAGAGCGGGTGGTATTTCCGACATGTTGTCTATAAATATGAAGCATGAAACTGCTGCAGTTATTTCAGTTTGTTCTCTACTTCTGTCATCAATTTCCGTGGTGCTAATGGTGTGAAAGAGGAAGTGAGAAGGAGGTGCTGAAAGCCCCACAGTGTGAGAAGGGGAAGTGCAGAGCTCACTCAACATCAGAAAACAGAGACAACTGAATATTCTCCAAGCTGGTAAGACATCAACTTTATTCTTCACCTTCATTTGGTTCTTTCTGAGGACAGGAAGATCAGCTCTCCTCCTTCTCTTTGGTCTTTATAATATAACAATGTGTTGACGGTATTATCACAGACAGAACTTGTAAAAAACTACTCTAAAATGAATCCAACATGTTCAGTTTTAGAATCGTATGTAGATGTTCAGTAACCAAAAATTAAAGTAAATGTTCAGTTCCGACATTCCCTTTATTTATTGTTCTAACAGCAAAGATGGATTCACAATTCCTTTCTGAATACATTCATGTTTGATGTGGTCCCCAGAGGACAACATCATTGATTTGATATTTGGGGAACTTGTGGCATTTCCACAGAAGACCAAACCCTGGGATGATTTTGGCAACATCAATAATAATTCATGTCATGTTCGATAATGGTACAATGATTTGAAACGCACTCTCTGTGAATAAACTGAGCGGATACACAGGAAGTGAGATGTGTCAGCGTCTCTTTCCTGCAATGTGACCATGTTGTTTAGACACACACACACACACACACACACACACACACACACGCACACACACACACACACACACACACACACACACACACACACACACACACACACACACACACACACACCCCTACTTATATAATACTGTACATACAGTACATGACAACATGATACTTTGTTCTTTTCCGCTGCAGGTCTGATCAGGTTCCAGAATGGCTCAGAGCTGCCTCAAGTGTTTGAAGTACATCATGTGTTTGGCCAACTTACTCTGTTTTGTACGTATGTCTGAAACACCCAGCCTCACATCCACACATCATTATGGTGCAACACGTCAGGATCTATTTTCATCATGATGTAGCTCAGCTAATACATAGTTATAAGTAACGTAACTATTTGAATTACTTAATCAAAACGATGTCACTTCTAACATTGATTACTTTTCTATCAAATATGTAAACATGGGCAATAAAGCTGAATATACAGTTAAAGCAGCTCACATCAGTATTCATCAGTTAACACTTTTCAACTTTTATTACAAGGCCTTTATTTGAACAGAAATTAATGTTGGATTACAGCAGGAGAATACATTTGATATATTATACACATCATATTTTTACTCAAAGAAACTTATTTGGTAATAACCCTTTTGTTATCCCTAACATTTTGATGTTGTGTGTGTGTGTGTGTGTGTGTGTGTGTGTGTGTGTGTGTGTGTGGCAGGTGTGTGGTGTGGCAGTGCTGGTCCTCGGGGTGTACATGATGTTGAGCTTCAGGATGGCTGCCCTCACCCCCACCCTGGCCAGCTTCACCGTCCCCAACATGCTGCTGGTCAGCGGCATCGTCATCACCTGCGTGTCCTTCCTCGGCTTCCTGGGAGCTCTGAAGGAGAACCGCTGCCTCCTGCTGACGGTACCACACACACACACACACATACACACACACACACACACACACACACACACACACACACACACACACACACACACACACACACACACACACACACACGCACACACACACACACACATCATCATCATCATCATCATCATCATCATGTGTACTCAATAAAGCCCTTAAGTCCTTTTCTTTACTGAATTTTGTTAAATGTTTTGTGTTTTTTCGACAAAACCAACGCATTTGACCAAAAACATAACATTAATCTGTATTTTGTTTCGACAGAATCAACATATGTTGGCAATGGTTATAGTAAGAGGTGGAAAATACCCTGTTCCTTAAAAAAATTGTACAAACATTCCATGACAAGCAAAAGTCCGGAATTCAAAGTGTTGTAAAAGTATAGTGTTATAGAGTGGTGCCGTGATGACATCTTTGTAGGCTGACCCTGAAGGAAGCTGCTGGTTCCCTCGACAAAAAAGCAACGGGATTTCTCCATAGGATTTTGGACTATTGTAAAAAAAAGATCTGTGGAAAACGAACCTGTTTGATAAATGCACGTTTTGTTCAGCCGGATAATATCCACATGTCTACCCTACTTTAATCATGTTCGAATCATAAATCTAATGGCCAGAAGCAAAATGCTAACGTTATGCTATAAAGGAACTACAGCCGAGTACAGCAGCACGACTTCAACGTCACGCCAACTTAAGATCCATATTCAAACATACAGATTCAAAATTGTACAAGTTGAAGCGTTTGTTTGAACAGTTTGCAGGAGGCAGGGGGTGTTTCTCAATCGCGAGTAAAGCTGCTTCAGAGCCACTATTTCAAGCATACTACGTCATCGAGGGCCTCTCATATGACGCACACCTGCACACTTGCTAGCGTGTTCCACTCTTCGTTTTCCGAATGCCAGGAAGTATTCTTGACTTGCTTCTGAAGCAAGATGCTCGGCAGACATGTGCTACCAAGCAAGCGTACTCGCGATTGAGAAACACCCAGGTACTTGCTTTCAAGCAGAACAGGGCAAACAAACTTAGCGGGAGTGTTTACGTGTTCGGCGTAATGACGTACAACGTCCTCCACAACTTCTGTAGTCCTATTCAGCCACTTGTTAACAACCATCATTTTTCAGACACGTAGGGTGTTTCTCAATCGCGAGTAAAGCTGCTTCAGAGCCACTATTTCAAGCATACTACGTCATCGAGTGCCGCCGAAGTACTGTTCCAATCTCCAGCATACTTGGAAATCTACCGAGCCCGGCGTACTCCGTTTGGAGAAATATCGAGTCTGCACATGAGTAGACTTCGCGGTCTTAAAATCCCCACAATGCTTTGCGCACGGACCAATTTCCCCAAATCTGTGGCGGAAGATGTAAGGCGGGGCCTCTCATATGACGCACACCTGCACACTTGCTAGCGTGTTTCCACACTTCGTTTTCCGAATGCCAGGAAGTATTCTTGACTCGCTTCTGAAGCAAGATGCTCGGCAGACATGTGCTACCAAGCAAGCGTACTCGCGATTGAGAAACACCCGTAAACTCTTCAAGTGGTAAAATGCTAACTCACTTCCTGGTTTTAGGACTCGCTCCTGCACCTCTCTATTAGGAAAAGTTACTTTAAGTACACATTATGGGGAGAGGGTCCTGACTCCTTTCACAGAGTTGTATTTGTATTGAGTATACTTTTAAATTATTAGTTTTTATGTGTAACCAATGTTTAGCCAATTCAAATACCACAAATACCTCAGAGTAAATTAGATTAGTTTATAGCATATTTCTACGTCCATCTTAAAGCTAGGGTAGGCTATTTATTTTAGTATTTATTAGTTGAAATTGTCTTTATATTAAGCCAGCATTTAACTCCGTTTCATATCAAAGCCGCCTTTAGCTTAGCGGCGGTGATCCAGGCATGCGGTCGTGCTGAAGTTGTTTTACATCGTTACTTCCCTTTTTACTTCTGCCCGATTGCATTTACAATCATCATAAAGTGGGGTTCATGTGTGGAGAACAGCTTTTCAAAACATGTAAGTATCATATATTTAAAGCCAAAAGTCCTTTTTCTGGCGGTTGCCTACTCCAGTTTTAAAGCAACAGTCTCCAATAACTCAGCTGTTCTCTGTGGCGCCCCCTGTGGTGATGAGAGTCAGTGCAGGTGTGTGAAGAGATCCAGACAGTTGGCTGCTTGTGTATTTTCCAGCAAAGGCAGTTGTTCATTTTTAAATCAGTTATTCTCTGATAAACACAAGGTTGAAACATATAGTTAGCAACGACCAAGATCTAAATAGTGTATAGATAAAAATGTGGCTCAAAATGATGACACATTTATGACAGCTTGACACACACCTGTGACACATGTTCAAAGGGAAACACAGGACACACACCGCGGCGTTACCTTTATTAAAATGACTTGGTTTTTGAAACTAATTTCAAATATTTAAAAACATTATTAATTAATTATTTGAGATCACTTTACAGACATTCTTTGGCCTAATCACAATTTTTTGAATTCATTTTATGTGATTTTATTTTTTGTTTCATTTTATTTTACTTTAATAAAACATACGTATATGTAATTATTCTAAGATATTAAATGTCAGTCAGTGTTTCCCAAAGTAGGGGCTCCATTTACAACATTTTGTTTGCATTTTAGAATATTATCATTTTATATATAATCATAGTTAAGTGAGCCATATACATCATCCAACTAATTTGCATAATATAGAAAGTAAAATGTAAAAAAAAAAATGTGGTGTGTATTTCAAAGAGTGATCATATTGTGTGACAGTTCTTCCTGCTGCTGTTCTTCCTGATGCTGGTGGAGCTGACGGCAGCCTGCCTGCTGCTCATGTATGAGGGGGAGGTAGGTCCATCACACACTATGAACATAACACTGATGACACACACACACACACTCCATGATCTGCAAATCTCACCTCACTGTTCAGATTGCTAGAATGGTGAATGACGATCTTACCAAGGGTCTGGAGTTGGCCAAAGGAAAGACTGGAAATAGCACCATGAGTGAGTGGGACTATATCCAGGATAAGGTGAGAGACCTGCGAAGTGGGAGGTGAACGAACGAGAGGTCACCTTGGTCTGTTGATAAAGGACTTTGTCTCTCTGAATGATCTGTTTCAGCTCGACTGCTGTGGAGTCCATAACTGGACGGACTGGGGGGTCAATGTGCCGGAGTCCTGCTGCCGCCTTGGGGTCTGCGGGACCACCGAGCCTCTGTACAGAAAGGAGGTAGACCTTCAGCTTTTCCTAACCTCTTTTCCTTAACCTCAGTTAAAAACGTCACAAGGGTAAAGAACAGAGGTGGGAAGTAACTAAGTGCATTTACTCAAGTACTGTACATTCTTTAGATACTTGTACTTGAATTGAGTATTTTCCCTTTGATGCTACTTTTTACTTTTTACTACGATACATTTAGTTACTTTACAGATCTGGATGAATGATGTGAAATATAATCAGCTCTTAAATCAGACTTTAGTTCCACCTGGAGTAAATTCACAAGCTACCCTGCAGTATACAAAGTCATTCAAACTAGCTGCACCTTTACCAGCTTTGATAACACTTTCATGATCAATCATTATAAAACATATAATATATATTATTCTGAAATGTACCAATCTGCACAATGACTACTTTTACTTTTGGTACTTTAAGTATATTTCGATGCTAATACTTTTCTAATTTTACTTGAGTAACATTTTGAATGCAGGACTTTCACTTGTAACAGAGTATTCCTACTCTCTGGTACTTCTACTTTTACTTACAAGATCTGGGTAATTCTTCCTCTTCCACATCTTCCACCGTGCATATCACCATTCAAACATGCTGAATAAATGAATAGCTTAAGAAACAACACCCAACCCAGTTAACACCTTTAAATGTTGACTTACTTACTTTAAACTTAATTGTACAGTTGTTAACATAAGGTTCATAGTTCAATTGTTTAACTTTGTCGACAAGATTAAGTTGAATGCTTAATAAGCTGCGTTTGTCTGTCATGATTAGTTATTTCAATAAGAAACTTTGTTTCTATAGGTAACTGCACATCTGAGTTGACAAATATGACATGTGGGGTACCTCAAGGCTCCATCTTGGTGCCTCTTCTCTTTAACATCTACATGCTACCACTGGCTCAGATAATGAAAAACAACAACATAAGTTACCATAGCTATGCGGATGACACATACATTTACATAACCATTTCACCAGGAGGCTATGGCGCCGTTTACACGAGGAGAAAACTGCTTGTATCTGCATAGTTTCGCGTGCGTATAGCCCTATTATTTACACGAGGCCGATAGAAACGGACCCCACAAACGATAACGGGTCCCAAGGTGGATAGATTTGCAAACGAAACGCTCTGGGGGGTCAACCGAGTCCGTGTAATCACCTCTATACGAATATTTCCTGAAAAAATAGCGATAGCCCCACCTCTCCCCACCTCTCCTGCTCACTGCTGTAGCAACTATCAAAAATAGCTGTGTTAATTAAACGCACAAGGGGTTCTTGAATGAAATAATATTATAAAAGGCAAACCAGAATTGTTAACGCCCAATATACTCCTTAAACAAAATAAACAGAGTCAGATTTCATGCATTGATCCATTATATTGACAAAGGAGTGATCTCACCCGGTGTTTGTAGAGAATATCTCTCTTTCTGAGCGTGTCCTCTCCACAGAGACGTGCTTCTTGGTCGGTCGATGCAATATCCACAGATTCGGTTTCTTTCAGTTAACTTCCCCGTTGCATTTATCGATATGCTGAGGAAATTACTATATCCCGCTGAATACCAGCAATCGCCACACACTTCCTCCTGTCAGTAGCTACTGCTAGTGCTACTGCTACTGACTATGCTACAGATATTAGTGCAAAATCTACAGCTCCTCTACCACAACCATCAGTAACTAGACCCTCCAGAAAAACGCGGGCTAAAATCCTTGATTATGCGGGCTAAAATCCTTGATTATGCGGGCTAAAATCCTTGATTATGCGATTAAACATGCGGGGTTTTTATGCGAAATATGCGGAGAAGTTGCGAAATATGCGGAAATATGCGAAAAGTTGCGAAATATGCGGGAGGCGGAAAAAAGGTGATTCTTCTCCCACACCCTGTTACTAGGCTACTACTGAATGAAAGGAAGCCCTTTTAAAGAGTTCCTATGATACACACACACACACACACACACACACACACACACACACACACACACACACACACACACACACACCTCCGCCTCATTCTGTTTTCATTTACCCGTTCGTTATCTGACCAGCTACCCCCCACTTTCGTGCAAGACATCTGCGTACTGCTTTGCCCGGTCTTTAGCAGAAATGTTCGTAGGCAAATGGGATGGATTCGATTTGTTCATCTTGGTCAGAGCCGTATAATAGTATAATTATAATAGTATATAATAATAATAGTATAATAGTAGGCTATATAATAATGTATATGGCGCTGATCTTGTTGCTTTTCTCTCTCGTGTGAGTTCCACACATTCACTCTACGGTGTTGTTTACCTGCGCGAGCTGATGACATCACTACTTCACGTTAACTTTTTTTTTCCTCAATTTTGTGTGGAAAAATGCGGGGATTATGCGGCCTTTTAAAAATATGCGCTATTTTGCTGATTATGCGGTAAATTATGCGATCGCATAATCGCGTTTTTCTGGAGGGTCTAAGCAACAAGTGGACATGGAGAATTACATGAACTACATGTTGCTAAATACACCGCGGGGCTTAAACAGAAGGGTAGCCATGGCAACATTGCTGCGGGGCTGCTCGGGCTGCTCTTCTTCGCTGCTTTTGGTGTATTTTGGCGGAAGTTACAGCGCCACTTACAGTCCCGGCATATGTACTACAGCGTTTCCAGCGGCCTCGTTTGAACAGACACGTTAAATGAAACGAATGCATGTGAACGGAAGACTTTTTTGAATACGCATACTGTGCATAAACGCAAACGTTCCCGTGTGAGTGGGGCCTAAGCTCCAATTCAAACACTGAGTAAGTGCATTGAACAAATCAATGACTGGATGTGTCAGAACTTTCTCCAATTAAACAAAGATAAAACTGAGGTAATGGTTTTTGGAGCCAAGGCAGAACATATAAAAGTTAGCGCTGAGCTTCAGTCTGCAATGTTCAAAACAACAGATAGAGCCAGAAATCTAGGTGTAGTCATGGACTCTGACCTGAGTTTCAACAGTCACATTAAAACAGTTACTAAATCAGCCTACTATCACCTAAAGAACATATCTAGGATTAAAAGACTAATGTCACAGCAGGATTTGGAAACACATGCTTTTATCTTCAGTAGACTGGACTACTGTAATGGTGTCTTCACAGGTCTCATAACACATCTATTAGAAAGCTGCAGCTGATTCAGAACGCTGCTGCTCGAGTCCTCACTAACACTAAGAAAGTGGATCACATCACTCCAGTTCTGAAGTCTTTACACTGGCTTCCTGTGTGTCAAAGAATAGATTTTAAAAATCTACTAAACTATATCATACAAATAAAGAGAATGTAGGCCTGTTATATTGAGATATATATATTATAAACACTGCACAGCTGTTCTCACTGTAAACATTGCGTCGCGATGAAAGCAGTTAATAAAATAATATCCAGGGGATACATGCAGAGCTGTCATTGGCTGAGATAAGTCTGGCCGTGCGTCACAACTCTTTTAAACATCACTGTTGCCGGAAATACATCCGCGGAGGAGCCATCAGTGTATCCTCGGTTATAGCTCCTCCAGAGAGCCTCCTCGACATTTAGAGAAATGAGATGTCCTTCAACATGGCGCGCTGAAATCCATTTCCGGGTCACTACCGGAGGACCGAGGATTCGAGGAGTCGAGGAGGGGAAATTAGTTAAATGAGAAAGGGCCCTTGCCTTGCCTAAGCAACAGCATGACGTTAGGCTTGTTTGGACACACTGCAGAGGTCAGAGGTCAGGTAAAGTGCCAGATGCCTCACCTTTGCATTTCCCTCTGTCTGCAGGGTTGTTTGGGGACGCTGAAGACTTTGTTTGAGGATAATTTCCTCACCACTGGGATCTCTGTCATCGTCCTCTGCATTATCGAGGTAAACTGATGGTGGTTATATTTACCATATAAATACTTTCAATTCATACCAAATAAAGACACTTTTTTGTTATCTTCTCCATACAAAATATAAGTAGGTTGTTTATAAGTGATTTATTTGTCAATTTATGTTCGGTTAATCTAAGATGCAATTGATCTCACAGAAAGAGGCTGCTATGTTAGTCTGTTTAGAAGTAAAGAAAGGCTGCAGAGTACGGAAGCTGGTGCTGCCATGGCTCATGGTAGCACCCTGAATTAGAAATACAACTCTATTTCCATTTACCACAAGTTTTACTCTTCTTTTTGAAATGTATGGTTAATAGACCTAATTTACACAAAATCAAACCTCATTTCTGAGTTAAAAAAGGAAACCATGTTGAATGATTTCGCTCCATTGACCACAGATGCTATACATTTGAAAAAAAAAAAAAAACCCAATGAAGATGATCATAAGTATTTTCTCATGGGAAAACATAGTATACAATCAAACATGTTATTTATTAGACTTGTGGTGCGCCAAAATATAATTGAATTTAGCGTTAATAGAATATCCAAATCAGCTCAATTTAAAATAGCTTTAAGATAAAATCTACTTTATTAATCCCAATTTGGGAAATGTTTTCGTTGCATGTAAAACAAGTATTGCACATTTAAAAAAAAAAGGGAACATATGGAATCAAAGTAATTTTTTCAGTTTAAAATGCTACATGAATGTTGAGGTTGTCTCATATAGGAACAGCTCATCAAATGTATACATCTCTTCTCCCAGATGATCTGCCTTTTACAATTCACCATGTCCTCTTGTTGGTCCACAGGTGCTGGGAATGTGTTTCGCCATGACGCTCTTCTGCCACATCAGCAGATCTGGACTGGGCTACAAGTTATAGACTTTACAACTTTGATCTTTTATCAGTTTTTCACAGTTAATATCCTTTAAGGAATCATGTTTAATTGATGATGCTGACAAATCTGAAAAGATCAGAAAATAGTTATCTTGTGAAAACGAAAACGTGATTTTATTAATCTTTGTGTGACGACAAAATATCTTTGACCTTAGCATAGAAGAAAATAATGTATCCAGTAGAAATGGGAAGAAAATGTTTAAGACATGACCGCGGTGTCCTTTAACGGAGTGAAGCTTTTTAGATGCTTTTCAGTCTGCGCTGTGTGCAGGGAGACGACTGTTGCCGTTGGTTTCTCCAGACTTTTCTACATTGTGTCTTTTAAGAATAATTGCAGTATGAAAAAAGAGCTTTTCCTGTAAAATACATGACTTATATTCTGTAACTTTCTAACAAAGACTCATCCTGTAATATACCAATAAAGTATTGTTTACAGTATTTACACTGCTCTGCATCCTCCATTTTAACTTCATGTCGTCAGAGGATCAGCATTTCCTGTTCTTGCTCAGTTCACTGATGTGAATGTACATGTCACCACTTCCTCTTTAGACTCCATCAGTTGGTTCCTCTAAAATTAAAAAAACACCTGAAACTGACTTGAGTTCCTCTTAATCCACTATTTTAAGAATGGAGCACCCTTTAATTTAAATGTAAAGATTGATTGGTTCTTTGTTAAGAAAGCGTGATTGTAATGTTTTCCTTGTATGAGAAATAAAACAAACTAACTGACTTGAAAGACAAGCGAAGGTTTTTCAAACAGTTGGAAACAAGCAGGTAACACAGATAATTGCTTTTATTTGAAGAATAAATCCTGCATCAATATTTTAAGACAACAAAACTAAAAAAATACTAAGATATCATTTACACTTTAAAATAATTTTGTTCTTTTGAAACCACACAAAAATAGAGAAAAGTACAATTTTTGTAATTAAAAAAATGTAACTGTACAGAGAAGAATATACCATTTATTGCAAACTGAACACCCCTGACACCTCAGAAACTATAAACACAAGTATTGCAATTCACCTAGAGATATGGAAAGACAAAAATCTATTCTGATACAGATCGCTCCGCCCCTTCTTCTCCGAAACAAGCAGCTGTTAGTCCGTTTTCTCTCGGCCGCCCCAGGAAGTCTCCAGAAGCAGCGCAGGCTCCTCTTTGTCATCCAAACGTTCAGGTCCATTTGAATAGATTTTCAGTAACTGTGGCATTTGTTGCCATTGGATACCAGATGAACCGTCCTCTTTGGGAGACGCCTCACTTTCTGAACAGGAAGTAATGAGTTCTCCACTACACAGTCCCTCTGAGAGGCTATGCACGTATGACTTAGATTCCCAGGAAACCTGGTCCACCAGTGCATCATGGACATTCTGTCTGAAAGACTATAAAAGCATCGTATTTAAAAAGGTGGGTTTCTTTCATTCAGCAGCCAAAAGGCCATTCAAATACTGAAAAGCTACATTTAAACGTCACAGCCCATATCACGAGTATTTTGAAGTGTTGTCATTAACAAATGCTATCGTAGTGAAAACCTATGAACAAAATATTGCAAAAAAGTTTGATATCTAGTTTGTGCTTAAGATGTTTAAAAGACATGTCACTACAAATGCCCCTGCAGGAGACAGTATCAGAATAAAAGTTATTTGAAGGAGCAGACAGTACCGAGCCTAAAAAAACATTCTTGTTAGAGAGCGATGGCGAGTGTTGCAGAGAGTGATGTCCCTCTGCCAACATCTAACCACCTCACAGAACACATTAATAAATAAAGACAGAAACTAAGTCTTTCATAACTCTGCTTCACAGATCCCCACCCCAACAGGTTAAACCAATGCCCCCCCCCCCCAAACCACGAACCATCAAAAGAACTGGAATGAGTAAGAACAGTAAGGGTACCCAGCCCCTATCTTCACAACATTCAAATATTACGGTTTAAATATCTGGTCTGCTGTCAGTTCATTAATGACTGATGCATACAATATACAGCGGAGAAAAGCCAGTTCACAGAACACCCCCCCCCCCCCCACACACACACACACAGCTGGTCCATTTACACTTGAGGGTGACACTAAAATCCAAACCACTCAGTAGTATTATAAAGCTAATACTTCCAAGAGAATGACATACGAGAGCTGAGAACTCTGTATTATTGAGCCGTTCAAACACCGCTGCAAGGAAGAGAGCAGGCGACTAACCCGTCGCCGTGAAGAAAACTAAATTAGTTATTTCAGATGTTACTTTTAAATCCAGGAAATATTCTACATGCATCTAGAAATGGGACTTCAGGCATGTGGATTTCTCTCAGTGGAACGAAGAGTTCCCCATGCCACTGACACTGATGATGTGTCCACATTAGTTTACAGTTTTTTCATGGGACTAGGATTATAATCCCTGAAAGAGTTTAGCATGAACCAAAACAATTCTCCTGTAATGAATAAACTCCCATGATGCATTTTGTTCTGAACAGGACAAGTGTTGGGAAAGAACTGCAGACCCATCACAGGTAGACATCCAACAGTTGAGGCTTGTTGTGAGGTCTTTCCAATGTTACATTATGCCCCTAATGCGCCAGGGACACTGCACACTTAATTACAACTAAAATGGCAGAGAGCTGCACACACCATCACACATCCACCATCGTTATTGATCATTACAGTGAATAACAGTTGATTACTGATCAAACTGTGAGCCATCATCTACAAGTGAGTGTTTGTTTGTTTCCTTCTGTTCCAGAGCGCCGGGAAACACTGAGCTCATCCTTATTGCTCCCTCAGTCTGTTTGACAAGGTCTTCTCCCCCCACACATTGCACAGAAGCTGCAACTCCATTACAGTGATACAACAGCTTTGCAACAAAACCTCTAGACAGGTATTCAAGTATCCACATAACATGCCAGCCAGGTGAAATAACTGAAGCCATTTGCATTACCTAATGTATGCATCCTGATCCTGACTATCAGCAGCTGAAGTGCTGACCCAATCATCCAGAGCATGGAATCAAGGGCAATCGGAATTTCAAATATCATTTTAAAAACAGAAAATCTGACAGATAAAACAAATCTCTTGACATCACAATAAGAATGAATTTCAAGCTCATTTTTTTATTCCTCACATAATTAGCATCACTGTGGGCGTAATGGAGAGCTACTCCGTGAATAGAAAACTGTAATGTTGAGACTGCTGGAGACAAAGAATTGGTGGGGAGTTTGGCAGATGTTACAGCAGGTTTTAATCCTTTAACACATGCACTGGAACCCTGAAATGATCTAGTCATCACCCAGAAAAGCTGTATGTGAGAACGTGATCAACGTGACCACACAACAGGTGGACTTCACCCTGACGGCTCTAAGTAGAGTCTGTGGAAATCTGATTTGAGCCCATATGTGACTAGAGTTCTCACGTCTAGCGAGTGGGCGTGTTGATGACTTTCCTTTCACAGCTGGCAGTGTCAACCAGAAGAAACCAAACAGCCGAGTATAATGTGGAAGGGTCTTTTACATGGAGACGCCACGGACAAAAATGTCTAACTTGATAAAGGGCGAGATAAAAGCCAACTCCAAAGATTCAGAGCAATTTGAGGGCACAAGAGACAAGTTATCCAAATGACGAACCGGCTAAATGACTGCACTCATGTCATGATGTGCCTCCTGCATGCTCTACCCCTCTCTTAGACCAAGTGAGAACGCTTCACCTGTTGTTGGCTACATGTGTGTAAGGGAAAGAGTTCATAAAGGAAACAGCTCAAGTTACTCAGCGTTAATGCACTCCCAAAAGCTACAGTACTAGTTAAAGTGTGTGCCGGTATGACCCTGAAATATCCTCCAGTGGTCGATCCACGGTGAGCGTTAGAAAGGATCTGCTCAGACTAGACCGCGAGAGACTCGATGAAGCTGTGCGGGGTGCACAGTGTCTCTGAGGCGTAGAAACACAGAAAACACAAACGTAGCGGCAATAACAACTAACCATTTACATTTAGACTGCAACTTACTATGATCTCTCAATTCCTTATCAGGCTAAAAAAAAAAAAACACGATGTGATGACATTCTTTTTGAAACAATCTGCAATTTCACTTCATGTTCACCACAAACATGGAACTATATGGTGTGTCTCCGCGTATAAAGGGGCAGAGCAACACAGTGGTCTGTGGACACAAGATTGAAATATTGCCGTTGAAGTAGAGACTCTAGATTTGTTTACCTCATTAGAATTGATATTCTTCTAGGTTTAAGTGCCATCTATCTAATGATTAGCAGGGGTTATAAGGACGGTTTTTTTCTTGACTGGAAACTTAAATGATGATTTGAAACTTATATCTTGGAAATGTTCAATATCAGAATGATTAATAAAATGGTCAGACAAACCCTTCTGTGTACACTACAAAACTGTTGGTCCTAACGATGTAATCCTATATTCAGTGTGAAGCGTAATACAACAAGCTAAACAATGAACCCAGCGGGGCAGGGTAAATATCATTTTACATGTAACTGATAGCCTTTAGTTACTTTGAAGAAAATGAGTCAAACTAGATAAATGTGTCCTGTTGTTGTTTAGTTCAGAATCAACAAGAGAAGCACATTTTCATTCCCGACAATCTCCTTTATCTTTTTGAGCCGGTTACTGCTTTATTGTGTACCCAGATACTTTCCTCTATCTTACTTCCTATCATTCATTTGTTTTTTCCAATAACACTTTTTTAATTAGTGAGTGTCGAAGGTTGCCATTTTCTTCTACACTGGCAATGGATTGAACTTTCTTATTCTCATATGCCTCCACATGTTTATTATGTCGATGTGGTTGAAACATGACATTCATTCTAGCAGGGAAATATTTGCAAAAGAATGAAATAGAATAGGTTTACATAGAGATAACATGTCTTGTGTTTTGAAAAACAATCCCAAATGGGCAGTTTGTTTTCAAATCACTATCTTCACACCTAGACTGACAGGGCCGCATGACAGCTGAGCGTTTGAATGATGGAATCTGATCAGCTGACCTGAACAACAGCTCTAGCATGTCGTACACTATAATTACACTACTCCACTGCTGTTAGTAGGCTGCCTCAATGTTGCAGGGTACGTGCAAAACCTGTCTGTTTTGACCTTTTCTTCAAAGCAACTAAAACACCTCCTTGTAGGTTAGGTCATGAAATGCATCAGTTTGATGGCTTTTCTCTCAAGTGGACTGATCCGAGGCTTCTAGATCCAGAACACTTAATCAGCACATCTGTTTTCACTTGAATAAAGGGAAGGAGATTCTATATCAGATAAAACATGTGTTCTGGTTGTTTCTGCAGCTGTAAGGCTCTGCAGGCGCAGGGAGTGAGTGGGAGGGGGTGGGGGACAGTCAGCCTCTCCGAGGCACGGAATGCTGTGGTCTTTTTTAAAGGGTGACGCCCTCTCTTCCCCCATAGCTGGGGAGCTTAGAGAGGCATCAGCCGGGTGGTGTGGAACAGGAGGGGGTTCAGGTCCTCAGCGTGGACGGCCCTGTGGAGCGACGGCTCCGAGCGACTCCGCTCTATTTTTGGCAGCAAGTCTTGAACCTGCTCAATGGATACCAGGATCTGAAGAACCAAAGGTAAGGATTTGTCAAAAGGTTGTGAACACTCATCCTTGCATTTTGAAAAGTTTTTAAGATATGACAGTTGGAACTCCAGCTGGTATACTAAAAACAATAATTGTAAGGCATACACAACAAGATGGGAAATCTACACTCACCTGTGGAAACAAGGGCCTCTCGTCACGTTTGAACTTCAGGCAGTCAATGATAAGCCTTTTCATTGACTTGGGTGAGGTACTAGACAGCTTACTTAGGTCTGGAGACAAGTAACCACGTCCAACCATAAAGATAATCTGAGGAAAGAAAGCAGAGGAAACTGATGCTGAAACCTGACAGAGCTGCTTGTGAAAGGCAACAATGCTAGTGTCACAACAAGATAAGGTGATTTCAACGTGCTTAACTTAGAAGGCAAGGCAAGTTTATTTATATAGCACCTTTCAACACAAGGCAATTCAAAGTGCTTTACAAAAATGAAAGACATTAAGAAAATGGCATTTAAAAACAGTCATTAAAAAGCAAAGATAATAAAATAAACATTAAAAGAAAAAATACATGAATAAAACTTACAGTAAAAGGGTTAGCCCCAAAATAATCATTGGTTTATTAACTCACTGTGTAACACCATGAATTTGTGGAGAAAACTTTGATGAGTAGCACGAGACTGGTTAAAGGTGGGGTAGGTAAGTTTGAGAAACCGGCTTGAGATACACTTTTTGTTATATTCCATGGAATGCTCTTAACATCCCGATAGCAATGAATATCTTAAGAGCTTTGACAAAAAATCCATTAAAAAATGTCATCTGTGGAAGCCGTAGTACTGTAAAAAGTACGACCAATCATTTTAGCCGGCCCGGCTAAAATGATTGGATGGCCTACCTGCCTGTCAGCCTTCCATCTGTGTACAAACTTATCTCGTGCCCTCATTGGTCATGTGCGCGTTCGTGTGTGTTGGAGGAGGGGCTCTGTAAGGAAGTGGCAGATTTTTTCCGGCTGTGTATTTTCAAATTCTAGCGATCTCGAGCTGGTTTCTCCAAAATGACCTACCCCACCTTTAAGGCAGAAGTCTTTTAAATGGAGACATTTTCGCTAAATAAATGTAATAAAACAAAATATATGAAAACGAAAACTTTTCTGAAACCAAACTAAAACTTGTGAACTATCAAATAAAATAGAAAAGTCAAAACTAATATACCCTGTGAGCACATAAACACAAGAGGAGGAGTGTAAAGTAACCTGGTCTCTGTTGTTGATATTCGAGTAAGGCAGGGTCCCTGACATCAGCTCAAACAGCACAACTCCGTATCCGTACACGTCAGACTGGAACGTGTATGGGTTGGTGTCCTGCATCCGGATCACCTCAGGAGCCTAGGAAAGACAAAAGATACAATAAGCAAAAGAGTAAGCACTACTCAATGAGGTGTAATGACCTGCCAAATCCAAAGTTACACATTGAAGTATTCAATATATAGGCTGATACTTCTTAAACACATCAAATATTTCTATGCTAACATCAGCACTCGTTTCCCCATAAAACCTGCAAGGGTATGAAATGTATCCTAAAAGCGAAGGAATACATTACATAAAAGATCTATTTTTCCACATTTACATAAAAATATACGCAGTAGGGTGCACCATAGGGATGTCCCGATCCGATCACGTGATCGGGGATCGGAGCCGATCACGTGATTTTCACGTGATCGGGGATCGGGAGAAAAAAATCGGGGATCGGATTTTTTTTTTTTTTTTTTTTTTTTTTTTTTTTTTTTTTATAAAATATTTTTATACATTTTATTTAATGTTACAAAACAAAAATGACCATGTTCACGTCTTAAAGTCATCCTGAGGCCTTAGTTTTGGGTTAAAATTACACAACATCATGTATGTGTTGCTTCTTTTGGGCTTGTTTTCATAGACCTGGTTGCTTATTTCTCTCAAATCTGGCAACAGAGTGGGCGCAGTGTCTAATAGTAGCAGTAAGCTAACGAGAGGCTACATTCAGCTGGTGACTCGGGAGTCGGGACAGAGAAAATGTCAGGAGTTTGGAAGTATTATAAAATTGAAAGCGAAGGCAGTGTAACAGCCAGATGCAATGTTTGCAAGGCGGAGGTTCCGCGTGGTGGAAAGAACAGAGCTACGTTCAACATGACCAATCTAATACAAACACCACCAACAACAACACGACGAGTACACAGCGGCCACTCAGGTAACGGCACTGAAACAACCGACACTTTCAGAGACTTTTAAAAGGAAAGAGAAACTACCCCAGAACAGTGAAAAGGCCAAAAAAAGAACAGCCAAGATAGCTGAATTCATCGCGTTGGATGACCAGCCGTTATCTGTTACCTTTTTTTTCCTCTTAATGCATTGCATAAAGATCGGATCGGGAAAAATCGGTATCGGCAGATTGTCAAAATCAAATGATCGGAATCGGATCGGGAGCAAAAAAAGGTGATCGGGACATCCCTAGTGCACCACAATTATTTTTAGATCATCAAATAAACAGAGGAACTGGGTTTCTATCTTATTATTCAGAGTCACTGTGAAATGTTGTCTATAGCCAGACCGTCATCTTGAAGGACATCCCAATTTTGAAATTGCACATCGAGGAGCGAAGATCGAGCAGGCTCGCTGGAGGAGCTATGACAAATTATACAAAATAAAAAAATTCTGATTCTGATGTAAATTAATGTATATTTTCTTGTGTCTGACGCGTTGTGAGAAAGAACGTGCATATGTATTTACTTGTGTGCGCGAGCGTGACACGCATTGCAGACCGCCAGTTAACCGCAAGTTTACCTTGACTTTCTAATGCTTCTAATGCCTTTTTTGCCGAGGTTCAAGGCATTGACTACAGACAAACAGTGCCATTTTTCCCACTAGTTCAAGCCATCATCCTGTATGTATGTATTGAATGTGTGTGTGTGTGTATACAGGGGCGCCGTTTACCGACAGGCAAGGCAGGCAAGTGCTTGGACCAGAAGGGGGGCCCCCAAAGAAGGTAGATTAAGAAGGTCCACAGCAACGACAACATGAACAACTTTAATTTACTGCAACGACATGTCGGGAAACCCCCTCAAGGGGAGCCATGCATAGCGCGCCGAAACTGCTTCTTAATTTCAGTTTCGTTGCTCCGCTCCGGGGGGGGCATTGTACACTTTACTGGCATTGATCCGGACCAGTGACCTTGTATACAATTCACAAGTGGACCTTTAACAAAAAAGTTTGAGTACCCCTGCACTAATGTATCCTTCTGGGATGTATTTCTGGCAACAGTGAGGTTTAAAAGTGAATATTCGCATCGCTCTAATCGCTTGAGTTTGACTACGGCTGTCAGGTGTGTTTACTCGCATCATTTAAACAAGACGCGCTGGCGAGGGGGGTTATCTCCATGTAAATACTATGGTAGATACCAACTACAACAAAATGAACATATTTTACCGTGATTTAATTGTAATGAACGTTTCATAATGATGCCAAAATAACTACATACTGATACCGGATAGTAAAAACCATGAATTAATGCTTTGACGAGTCTTCTTACAATACTGCAGGCAAAACACTTTTTAAATGTGTGTTTTCTGAATGGAGATCTGATCTATCAGGCTAAGCTAACATGTAGCCTTTCTGTCCACACTCAGAACAATGAGTTTTTACATAACATTTCAATTGTGGCCTGTCATTTTATTCTCTCATTGTAGCGGAGATAGATGAGGGAAATATATCCAGGCTCTGATAGTGATAAGATATTATGATAGTGCTCTGATAATTGTTTGATTCTCAAATCTTATTCGTATGTTTTTATTTAGCATGTCTACAGGATAGTCCGTAGTTAAATCAGCTTATTTAATTCTATTTAAAAGATTTTCCCCTCAGTCAAATCACACCAGATCCATACTTTTAATTAGTTGAATTTCACAATATCTCATTTAAATCACAAACATGGACATATGTAGCCATCTTACTTTTTGAGTTTAAAATAGATTTTAAAATGTTGCCTTATGTATTACAAACTGACCATCGTTTTATGCGTCGTTTCTTGTTAATGTGAACATTTAATTAACCGATGAAGTCACATGCCAAAGGAAACAATAATGTTTAAGTCTAAAGAAAAACAATAAGTGTTTACTAGGACTAATCTTAAGAGTGGTCCCACAGCCCCAACACACTATATTTGGACCACTTTTAAAATGTTGTGAGGTTTGGTTGTTTCTACTGTAAAGACTTTTGTAATTTCTAAAATAGTTGAAAACTGTTCAAATCGAATGTGGATCAAAAAGCAAAGTAATCTATCACTATCATAAAATAACACGTGAAAAGTGTTACTAATTTTTTAGATTAATAATACATAATCTATAAAAAGTTATAAATATTCATCAAATATTATAAACTTTGAATACGAGAGAACTGAATCAGAGAGCTTTCCAATGACTTACAATGAGAAAAGGTGACAATAGTTTCATTGGATGTCTCTTCATGGACTCAGTAATCATATAGTGTGAAGAGAGGCTTACCATCCACAGAATGGATCCACTGGGCTGCTCCACCTGCTGAGAGCCGCTCCACCGAGACTTCACTGTGGCCAGGCCAAAGTCACCGATCTTTACAGTCCAGCCCTCGTGGAGAAAAATATCTAGCAGAACAGCTCAGGAAACATAACAACAAAGTCTGGTCGTTTTTACTTACCACAAAAACCATTAACAAGCAAGAGATTATAAGAAGGGCGAGGTGTCGAAAGGAAGCTTTCTGTAGAAAACACTGGAACAAAAGGATACTGTTTGATTTCAGGTCTCGATGAATTATGTTCTTTGCGTGAAGGTAACTGAAAGGGGAGGAAATACAATCTTTTTTACAAGACTTGACCCCACTTATTACATCCTGCACAATATTAGAGAGCCTCTGGGTTACGTCATCAGCTTATTCAGAGATTCTACTGTGTAGCCAGTCTTGACTTTTACCAATACCATAAGAGTGCTTCCTGTGCTATGGCCAACAATACTAAAAAAACTATTTAAATGTCTTCTAATCTACAGCTGAAACAAGTTTGACAACATATAAACAGTTTATCAAAAGTAAACATGGAATAATTATTAAATCCAAACTGACTATCATTCTTACAAAGTGCTTAAAATTGCGTGAAATTAAAACGTGATTTCTAGCATTTGATAATCCTATCAGCAGTGGTTGAGTGGTGATGCGGAAATAGAATATAGAAGCAGGTCTTACTCCATGCCCTGTGCTGTTTGTCTAGCCACATCAATGCGACGCATCGTGTCAAACTTGGTTTCTGTGACGTGCAGATGGCGGTACAGGCTGCTGCCTTCACACCACTGAGTGATGATGGCGAAGTTGGGCTTAGTCATATAGCCCATGAACAGCAGGATGTTGACGTGGCGGGTCTTCCTGAAGATTACAAAAATGGCAATAGTGTCAGAAATGAAAAGATTGAGGTAGTTATGGAACTGTTATGATTGAGTCATATACATGTTTGACTAATACTGGTTCATTTTGAGATCGCAGTCAAAGTGGTTTTTAACATTGTGTTTCAGATTACGCTGCAATGACAATTTGGTACTTTATAAGTCAGGACAATTCAACTGAAAATATGTAGTTAAGTTAAAGATATTATTACTTATGAACCTGGTAAAGCAGTGTATTAGCAGACACAATTCAGACGTCAGGGATCATAGAAAGGAAAATGAATTGTAAGTATTGGTATGTAAATGTAAGCATTGATAAGTAGACTTTATGAAGTGGCAGGTACAGGGTTCTTACACCTTTTCCAAAGTCAAATTCAAGCACTTTTCAAGCATTTTCAAGGTGCATTTTCAAGCTTTTCAAGCATCTTACAGCTGTTGTAAATTACATATTTATATACACATACTTATACTCAAATGATTATTTCCCTACCTCACATTAAATCAGATGTTCTTTATGCTATAAACAACCAAATGTGTGTTTCATAATAGCATTCTACATGAGGATGAAAAATTAAAGAAAAGAAAACTAAGTTTAATATTTCAAAATGAGTGACCCATCTGTACGTAGACTGGGCATCCCATATAACCTGGCTGAGCCAATATAAAACAATCAGCCAAATAACTTTTCAATATATTATTGATTACTATTTTTGAGGTACTTTTAGGTTGGCAGTAAACACAAGTCAGAGTTAAATGGTGTACTTTTCCTCCACTACATGTATTTAATACCTTTAGTTACTTTACAGATGTGGATGAATGATGTGAAATCTAATCAAGTGTTAAATCAGACTTTAGTTCCACCTGGAGTAAATCCACAAGCTACCCTGCAGTATACAAAGTCATTCAAACTAGCTGCACCTTTACCAGCTTTGAGAACACTTTCATGATCAATCATTATAAAACATATCATATATATTATTAGGGATGCTCCGATCGCCAATTTTGGAGCCGATCGCCGGAATCAGTATCGGCCGATACCGATAGCGCTCTCTTTTCCTCTCTCCCCCTCTCTCTCTCTCTCTCTCTCCTGACAGCCCGTCAGTATCTCCTGCAGCTCACTGATCCAGTAATGAGCGACCCGACAGTGAAGAATAAATATATTTATAACTAGTTTAGCTTGTTCCAGAGGTAGATCAAATAGCTAAGTGTGTTAGGTCTAACTCTTAATGTGTGTTCTGCTCCGCTCACCGGTCCGTCACAGCGGGTGGAGCTGCAGGATTTCTGCTTCACACACACGTTGCATACCGCTATTTTATTGTCATTTTCGGACACTTAAAATACTGCCTAGTGAAGCCATTTTGGCGAGCTTGTTTTGCCGCGCACAGAGAAAAGTGTCATGTATTTTACATGCAACGATAGCCTAATCTAAAATGCTCTACTCTGGCGTACCTTTCGTGTGGTGTGTGTCAGCGCAGACTCTCGCATCGTTATTGTTGCACACTTTGCAGGAGGCTATTCTTGGGCTTCGCTTGACCCTCGTCTTAGCCATGGCTTGTATTTGTCTTCTGCTAGCCAACGCTCGTTGACACGGCAACCTCCTGGCATACTGTCATCTATCACTCTCATCAGAATGCCCAGGTCACACACGTAACAAAAACACTTGCCGGTCACGCGCATTGCGCGGGAAGGCCGGAGCGGAGCTGTTTTATGTAAAAGCGAAGCAATTAAGCGCGCTCCGACTTCTTTATTTTCTTTTAATCTAAAAAGCGAAGTAAAGCATTTACAATTTCAAGCACTTTATCCCAAATTCAAGCACCATTCCCAAAATTCAAGCACTTTTCAAACCTTGAAAACACCTCGTACAATTTCAAGCATTTTCAAGGATTTCCAGCACCCGTACGCACCCTGCAGGTAGTCTGTCTCCTTTGTTGATTGTGAATTATTGTGTATGGCAATGATTATATTCTTTCTTATGTTACTGTAAAAAAAAAATGTAAGTAACTGTAAATCAGAGACCATCTATTTCTGTTATCCATGCTTGTTTATGTGTCATGGGATGTGTAAATAGAGTTGTGTTTTGATTGTGAATCTTTTTTTGTACACTACCGTGAGCAGAATAAATGACAAAAGGATATGACTGTTTTTTTGTCTTGTTTAAACTGAGCATTTTGAATGATACTCTCAATACATTTTCCAAAACACAGAAGAAGCCCAATTTTGAATAAAAGAGACTTTAAGTTAGAACTTCTTACCGTAAGACCTGCATTTCATTTTTGAAGGCCTGCAGCTGTTCCGGCGTTGGCTCAGTGACTTTCAGGATCTTGATGGCCACGTCTCCGTGCCACTTGCCCTTAAAGACTGTTCCAAACGAACCTGCACCTATTCTCTTCTGAATGTTGACTTCTCGAGAGTGGACTTCCCAGTAGTAACTGGAGTCTCTGTAGCCCCCTCGGTGCTGAAACATCACATGAGATTTAATGTCATGTAATTAAATGTAAACCCTCAAGATTTCATCAATGTGAATAGGTCAACCAATGACCTGAGAATAATGTCAAAGACTACATACCACTTTCTTTTTGTCATCAGAAGAGGAAGGCTTGCGCTCCTTATGCTCTGAGGGAGACTTGGGGGGTCTACTCCCTGGGGTGAACAGAGAAGAGGGCGGGCTGGTGGAGGGCTTTGGTGAGGGCTCAGGACCTGCAGGCATGACAAGCAGGACAACCGATTACTTCAAAAAAAAGAGCACAGATAAAACTACAACTGAATACCAATTCTGAAAGGGAGCAGGAAATCAAAACTGTTTTTGTTAGATTTGAATCACATACCCATTGTGTTGTTGAATTTTAGCGCTTCCTAAAAAAGGAGGAAAAACCCAATATTATACATTCACATTTGATAAACGATTACACAGGTAAGTAAAAAGTGTTGAGGTCGGGTTTGCCTACTTTATAAGGACCAGCAATTTCAAGCACTGGAGCTATGCGTTAGACTTGTGGTGTTGTAGTGGAAATTATATAAAGAAGTTAGTCAGCAGTTGGTCAAGGATAAACATTTCTGATGCACCACAGCTGGTTAGTGTTTGGAGCCTTCTTTTTTCTTTTTCACAAGGTGCGATTTAGGTTTTACAGCCAATTGAGCTGTTACACATTGAACAGGTACGTACATTCTATACAATTAGGTCTCCTTAGCATTAGACACCACTGAAAACATGAAGCAGGCAACCAACACTGACCTCTATAATGCTGACACCAGCAGGGCCCACTGTGCTGACCATATGAACATTTGGAGTAGAGGTGGAGCGATGCCTCTGTAGAGACTGCCCATCTCCACCAAGCAAAGGAAAGCGGAAGGCTGAAGTCGGAGACAGGAGGTCCATCCTGTGGAATCAAGTAAATGGTCACATTTTATAATTCAATATTAGTTTCACAGACTAAGGGGTCATACACACGCCCTTGTTCACTTACATCCAGTGCTGTCAATGTACACGTGTGGGTACACGTGTGGAAGGCACCATCAAAATGCTGCACACAGTTACATATGGTTCAACTTTTGTAACGCAACAGCGCCCAGTTTGTCAAGTGATGAGAAACAACGTATTAATTCTTATGGCATCGTTCCTTTTTTACGCAACTCATTCTTCGGTAAATGTGATCAATTTAGTGAAGAGCTATCGTTACCCAAAGCTTTAAGGTCTGCCAGTGCACACACACACACACACACACACACACACACACACACACACACACACACACACACACACACACACACACACACACACACACACACACACACACACACACACACACACACACACACACACACACCACACACACACACACACACACAACACACACACACACACACACACACACACACACACACCACACACACACACACACACACACACACAACACACACACACACACACACACACACACACACACACACACACACACACACACACACACACACACACACACACACACACACACACACACACACACACACACACACACACACACAATATTACCTAGCCAGACCAGACCAGAAGCCCTGTGTCTACGAGGCGGGAAAGACATTGTATGCGTTTGGCCCTAAAGACTTAACTGACACTTGAATTTTATTTGTTAGGGTTAGCTTACCCAGCAGGCTCTGGGGTTAAGGCTAGGTTGCTCTGCGATGGGGAACTTTCTGGCAATAGTATCCGTGGGTACTCATCTGTGCAGAGATTAGGATCACACCTGACAAAAAAAATAAGAGAAAAGGCATAAGACCAAAGAAAAATTTAAACAAGGTGTCAGACAAAGGAAGACCGATTTAAGGAAGTTGGTGCAACTCTCGTTACATGTAACTATATTCAACCTACCAAGAGTGATCACATTTTATGATCTATGCTGTTGACCTGATTTTTTTATTTGTGTATTTATATGTTTGTATTGCACCCACTTGTTGTTTAGACTTTTATATTTCACATACATTGTGAAGGAGACATCTGTTAATCAGCAAATATATTTTTTGTGTTAATGAACTTCGCAGTCCCTCGGAAACAGTTATGAGAACTGAGCAAGTTGAAGAAGACATTGAAATGTGGTTTCAAGCTTCTAAAGAAGGTAGTATGTCGACTTTGAGTTAAGATCATTACTCCATCCATTGACACAGGTGCAGTTGGAGTTTATCTTAATAAAAATGAAGTTCAGAAAGTAATCCAGCCTTCCCTTCACTCATGCTAGGGGGTTGCGGCCATGCAAAAGAAACAGGGAGAAATATTGCCCTCATTGATGATTTCGAACACTTCCTCAACTCACCGTTTGCTCACTGTGTCCATGTCCACACACACTGTAGGGACCTTGCTACTGCAGTGCTGGTGAAATTTGTAGCCACATGTCTGACATCTGAAGCCGTTAAAAAGAAACTTGTGGCAAAAATCACAGTAAGCCAGCTTGAAAAATGTTTTCCGTACCTGAACAGAAAAAAGCCACAACATTTAGATTACACCTTAGGCATTGAAGAAACATTCAAGCAAAAATATATATTTATGAACCCAAATATAAAGTGGAATATCAACCAAGCCAGCTCCTTACAGGTTGGCCCTCTGTTAATATAAGGTATAACAAAGAAGCCAAAAAAACATGTCACAGCTACTCACAAAGTTGTGCATTGTGAGGGGAATATCATCCAGAACCTCGACTAAAAGCTCCTCTCCAACCAGGGGAGTGATGTCTGTGTCCCAGTCCGTCAGTCTCTTACGTCTGGAAACGCATAAAAAAAATGTATTGATCTCCGAATTTGAGACTGCAATTTAAACAGTGAAAAGGTATTGAAACGTCTATTATTATAAACGTATTCTATAATGAAACATAGTTTATTATATGATGTATATGATTCAAACAAGTAGTGAACAAGAAGTAAAACTGAATTTCCTTCTACTTGAAATGTCACAAATAATCTGTCTTTGCACAGGTAAACAGTGTGCACACAAGTACGTTAAGAAAAGGAAGCCTGTCGAAAAACTGGGTTAGACCACCGCTGACAGCAGGGTAATTATTTTATGTTTGCCTTAAATAGAAGTATGATTAACCTGGGCGATTTGGCCATTTGATTATCCGACTGTTGTAGTTTCTTGTCGAGTCAGATTTGTTTTTTGGAGATGTTTACAGATATCCGCAATAAATTCGTATGAGTCCTCAGGGCAAGAATCATGAAACTACATTCAACATGTCCCTTTAAACAACACACACATCTGCACAACCTATATATATAAGCCAAATAATTAGGATCAACCAGAGGAATTCTTTGTCTCTTTTTTACTGATTTTAAATTGTTAGTTCACTGAACTTGTAGCTTAAATAAATTATAAATAAAGTGTATTTATTATTAATTTAAGCTACAGGGTGTAAATAGCGGTTTACAATTAAAAATGTAAGTATATTATTTTATATTTAAATTATAACAAAAGACTCTAAACAGACCAGCACGTTTCTGCCCATTTCCAAAAATCAAAGCTGATACAAGAGGATGGGCCAGTCGTATATCAGAAAGAGGCCTAGGAGGAACTGCATTTATGAGCATGTTTAAATTACTCAAAGAATGGGCAACCATTTTTACTCTTCAGTCTTATTATTTTACAATTATATCAAAAGAACACAGTCTACAATATTCAGATCTGAGACTTGTGTTTATTGTTTGCCGATGCCCTTTCATCTTTTATGTTGGTGATTAGGAATGCATCCTTTATCCCTATATGGTGTTGTAGGACATTCAAAGGACAGTAAGCAATCTTACCCTTCTAGCAGGCGAAACACAGCACAGCAGTCTTGGCTCAGGCCTCTCACTTTGAGAGCTTTATCTAGACTCTCGTACACAGTCTGTCCTTGGCGAACATTCACCTGAAAACAGGAAACTGCATTTCAACAAAAGCGACTTTGAAAAGAAAATCATTGGCCATGTACACACAGGAAAAAAGAATGCATACCAGAAGTCCTGAAAAGCAAAAATGACAGCTGCACATTTTGAGTTCATGTTGTTATCAGATTATCCATGTTATGACAGAACTTCAGTCCAGTTTACAGATAACCTTTTCCTTTTCCATCCTATTCCTTTTTTGGACTACATCAGAGCTCTTAAAGACAACATTGATGTTTGGCAGTGAACACAGCTGCTGGTCCCATACTGATGTTACCTCCCCAAAATGTCACAACTGTGTGCGCATTTCTCACATGGTAATCCAAAACCGATTTTGATCATAGCGTGGTTTGTCTGTTCTTTTGATATAAGACACCAAGCAGAGTAACTGGAAGAGCTCAGCAGTCAATACATTTTTCAAAAACAGGTTGAACATATATTGTCACAAAACTATCAACTCAAGTTTCACGTAAAAGGCAACAGAAGTGGACATGTATGGTTTGCTGTTTTCAGTTAATATGAATAACAAGATGAGTGCATTATCAGTATTATTAACATTTAGCAGAACAGGAAACGACAATATAACAAATATGATTTAAAATCTGTACAACCTCACACCACAGCAATTTTACACTAGCTTACTCACTGACATCTTTAGGAGGATGTCACATTCTGTGTGAGTTATAACACTTACAACCAACAGTGCTGGCAAAATTATTTATACGGATATAGATTCAGCCTTCCCATAACATTGATACTTTTTGTATTAAAAAATGTGTTTTTCTGCTGAGTGATTGATTAGAAGCAAGTAAAGCAAATCATCTCACCACTGTCCTCTGTTTGTTGGGGAGGTAGACCCGTATGGTGCCCCCACCTCGGGGTACATCCTCCGGACTGGTCTCCCCTGAGGAGGAGTAGGAGGAGGAGGTGGAGGACATGATGAGGCGGGAGGAACTGGGACAAGGAGCACTTAGACACCACCTCTTTAGGAGAGCTTCATGCGCAGTGGGATGGATCCAAGAGAGTTAGCCCTTTACTTGGAGCCTGCAACGACATGGACATATTTCAGTTTTGACACAATATAGACTACCTCCTGTGTGAATAAGGTGGATGCCGTTGTTGGGGGAAAAGGCCATTTTCTGCCCTAGATATAACGATGATCCTATTAGATGAAGCTAAAGGTTCCATTACTAAGAAACAATTAACACATAGCAGAAAGCCTGTCCCAAAAACACTATACATGATCACAGCACGCAAACAAGCAAAGCTGTACAAAACCAACGCTGTCCATAACTAAAATGGCTATGAATCACGACCAACTATTTCAGTCTATATCTCCATTCACAATACCAGCCTACATGCATAATATGGACACGACAATTATACATAAATAGTTTTGAATTCACAAAATGCAGAACGCAACGATTATTGGCAGCTCTTGCTGGTTATTTAATTCAAAAGCTAAATTGCATACATTTACGAGTTTTGATTAGAGGGAGTGTGCAGGTGAATTAATACAATTATACCCTCCCACCGCTTTTACCATACAACGTTAGTGAAAATGCTGTGTTTGTTAGGTGGGTACTTGGTGTCGGATACACCAAACAAACTCTGTGGAATGGCATCAGTCTTAATACATCTATATAGAAACATGTGTTGCTGACAAGGAAAACCGTGTATGCAAAGATACGGAATTAGTTCTGGTAATACAAGAGAGATAGCACGTACCCGGTCACTTAGCGGCACATACAAACGAGAACCATGTTTAAAGCTAATGCTAACTAGCATAACAATTATACACGTACACCAACAGAAACATCCGTGCATGTGCCGACGAGCTTTCATTTCATGTAGAGATATAGCGCTGAAAGACAAAGTTGCAAACCTGCAAACTTGCTATCAACTCGCATGCTAATGCTTGCTAACGATAGCCTTTTAGCTTAGCATGGGCTTTGCCTGCTAAGCAACATGACATCTCGAGTTTGGAAGGCCATGTTTCTCTCGGAGCGCTAGTTAAACGATTTAAACTAACTAGCAAACTACTTTAAGAACTGCAGAAGATAGTACGATGTGGGTATAAACTAATGTAATAAAAAATGTACGCTAATGCTAACGATGCAATATTATTATTGCGTTTGTAATTTCCTCTCAGCTCGACTTGAAACTGTGCGAGTCAGCTGGTTAAATGCTGAGGGGAGTAGGAGAGGAGATTGTGTGGCCAACTCAGAGGCTAGTTAAGTTTACTCTACTGTACAGTGTTTTTAAGCTACTCCTAGCCAGCTAACATTAGCCAAAGTGGGGTTTCTACCACCGCGTCAGCTTATTGAGTACTTATGTGTCTTCCCAAAATAAACAGCAGTGACTTATTTAATCGACATGCTGTAAACTGCACACCGTTGTTGCTATACAGTTGCCAGGATAACAGCAAAGCACCTTCCGTCACATTGTTTATTACAGTTTAGATACAAGTAAAACGCTTACCTGTAGCAGCCATTTTGAATTCTTTCAATCTGAAATCAGATCTGTCAAGAACTTCGTGGAAAGCGGAAAACCTCCGAACTGCTCCGCCCACATTGGTTGATTGGTTGAAAGGGCCAGTGGGTGGCGCCAATTCACCGTCATGTTTAATCTGTCATTACTGATATTCAGTAATAGCCTATTAATACACATGCCAACAAAGCAGGAGTGCACATAGTGCTGTACGTACCGAACGGAAACTAAGTAGTAGTTATTATTACAATATTGAGAGTAGTGACCAAACAATGTAGGCCTAAGTGATAAAAAGGTTTTTACATGACATAACATTTAGCTGACGCTTTTATCCAAAGCGACTTACAAATAGTGCAATAAACCATAAGATTCAAACTAAGGACAACAAGAACAGTGCTGACATATTTACTACAAACAAGCAATATAATTGTAAATGCATGAGCATAAGTAAAACGTCTCTAAATATCTAAGTTTTCCTAGATTAGTAGGGTGAAGAGGCATGTGGGCTAGAATATTAGTTAAAGCAAATAGCCATCTTTCAGAAGAGTTCAGAGAAACTATAGCAGTGCTCCAAACTGGATATCATAAACACAGAAAGTAATCAGAAACAAGTTTATTGCCAGGTACGTTCACACGTGCTTTGGTGTCTGGTGGTGCTGAGTGCTGACATAAACAATCTAAGAGAATAAGTTGTCAGAGTGGGTCAAAAATATAAATGTAATAAAAAGAAAGTATTTTTTACAAACTATTTGGTATTACAAAAGAATAAAGACAAATATTTACACCAATTTGTATTTAAATATACAAAAGAACTTAAAGAGCTTAAAAACTAAAATACTTAGGACAATGAATATATGAAAATGTATATGGCAAACTACAGTGTAGTATTGTATGTGGAGGGCTGTGGATGGCCTACCTGCCTGTCAGCCTTCCATCTGTGCACAAACTTATCTCGTGCCCTCATGGTCATGTGCGCGTTCGTGTGTGTTGGAGGAGGGGCTCTGTAAGGAAGTCTGAAGGATGGGGCAGATTTTTTCCGGTTGCGTACTTTCAGCGCACTCGAGCTGGTTTCTCCATTCTTACCTACCCTACCTTTAACATTGGTCTCAGAGACGGCTGGTGATAAAAATGTCTGGTGGGGCGAAAAAAAAAACAACCTACAAGCAGGGGCGGACTGGCCATCGGGACGTTCGGGACGAATCCCGATGGGCCGGTACTGAAGTGGGCCGGTTGGACGATGCGGGCCGGTCGGATATTTACTTGCGGCACAGAGGTGGGCCGAACGGATAAGTCACTAGCACCCCCCCGTAGACAATTTACTAGCAGTCTTTACTTGCGGTACCGAGGTGGGCCGGCGGTACCGAAGTGGGCCGGTCGAGAGTCCCTGGATGATTTGTAGTCCCAGTCCGCCCCTGCCTACAACACCACTCTAAAAGGAAATTGATTGTGATTCATGGACACTATCCCCGGTTGTAAGCTCGTCCTCGATCACTTGCCTGCTGATGAATTTTTAAATCGGGTCGGTCCGGTCCAAGCTCCTTTATTCTCTTTTTTTCTTCCAGTGGACGCCTTGTGAAAGGGTGTTTTTGTAAAGAAAAAACTGAATTTTCTGCGGCCGCACTTGAATTTGCCATGACAATATCATCCAGAAAACTAATGGCGGGTGTGAACATAAAAGACAGTGTCATAGTCCAATCACATCAGGTCAAAGATCATGAAAACAATACAGATTCGCTGCCAATAAAAGTGGGAGGGTGTTGGGCGCAGAGAGTTGCGCCCCGTGGGAAAATATGAAGCCGCCAATCAGCGAGCAGCTTTTGGTCACCTGCTTACCAAAAGTTGAACGACTTCCATTAGGCTTGTTTGAGACAAGCGAGACCTGCGCAGACCTGCGCAATTGCGATCAACGTCTTGCTAGTGCGTTGCATGATGGTTAGTCATTTTGTCCGACTTGCTCTGGAGGCTCGCCTACATGAGACGTTGAAATCTCGCGGGACAAAGAGAGCGAGGCGCGGACTTGAGAGCGAGGCGCGGACTTGAGAGCGAGGCGCGGCGAGGCGGCGCAGTTTCTCTCCACGGGCTGCGGAAGCGAAATGCTTGATGGGAAACGACTTGCTGGTATCTCGAGCTGAGCGCTCATTGGTGGGTTTTACCCCGTGCTGGTGATGAAAACTCTCCATTGGCTCGGCAAAAGTGTGTTGTTGTTTTGTGTCAGTTTTACGTCGCCACTTCCATTCACATTTTCATCATTGTTCCACAATGTTTATCATCATTAAATTAATATCTATATATTTTATTCTATACTTGCACTGCGGAGGTGGTGGCGGTATGCACCTTAAAGTTGTTTGAAATCCGCCAAAAAACCGAGAGAAGAAGAAGAAGATAGAAGCCGACTCCGAGCTGTCCGACTTCAGGCGAGCTTTTTGAGACCTCCCCCGGCTGCGATCGGCTATTCTCGTCTACTTTCGAGACGAGAGCAGCTCTTCTCAAACAAGCCTATTCACTCTGATTTGGCCGGCGTTCCTCAACCAGGAAGTATGTATTCACACAAAAATACCCAAAATGCGGAACAATTTTTTACGGAATGCAGACTACCATGCAGGCGCATCGTTCAAGGGAACACGTTTATTTCATAATATTTTATATATAATAATTCACGTTTATCATGTTTAAGTAGACTTTCTTCTCGAGATATTATGAGAGGGGGCGGCGCCCCAGAGCCCCGCATTGACCAGCCGCCACTGGTTGTTCTGTCGTCTGAAGTGAAAACATCTTATTGATATTTCTTTCTATTTTATTGCGTTTGATGTTGAGCTAATCCAAAAGTAACGGAAAGTAATTAGATTACATTCCTTTAATATTGTGATACTCAGATTAGGTTACTGATTATATATTTTGTACAGGCAACTAGTAATTGTAACGGATTACATTTTAAAATAACCGTCCCACTCCCAACTCTGATGGTAATATATTTTAGTTTTGTTTCCTGCTATCTCCTGTCCACCATCCGGTCCAGTAGATGGCGATAATGCACCAACACGTCTCACCAGTAAACCTTAGAAAAGAAGAAGAAGAAGAAGAAGAAGAAGAAGATCTCCCAGCCTGCACTGCTGCTGTTGTGTCCGACGTTACCGAACTACCCTGACTACAATCTGTGAGAGACTGTCAGCCCTGAACCAGACACAGAACCAGCCGCCCTGTGTCTCCAGGATGAGTATCCGGACCCTGCTCGCCTCCGGCGGGATGATCGCTTCCATCGGGCTCGGCTACGGGATGTGGTCGATAATCTCTCCCGGAGAAGATAGGCGCAGAGAGATGCTCAAGGTGAATCAGCTGATCAGCATTCACTGTATACACTAGCCTACTAAGTGAAACTCAACTTAAGATAAAAAATGTAGCACCACTTTGTGTATCAAGCACAACAGTTGCTTTTATCTTTTAGAAGCTCACATTCGATTATAGTTTCCTACTGTAAATGTAATATATCGTAGCCCATGACACTGAAATGTCTATAGTACTGTCTGTGGATGGTTGGCTCTCCATGCAGATTCTGTCTTTATGTGCAAACGATCCTATTTGGTATGCTTTTATCCCTGTGCTTTAAACAGTTGCCTGCTAGGGGACTTCAAATTAATATGATCATTTTTTGCATATTATGTAATTAATAAGCACTGTGCTTATGAAATAATTACATAAACTACGTGTATTATTGTTGTTCTTCAACATACCAAATAAATTCTATGTTAAATCCTAGTCGCCGATAAACCTTATTTGGGATCAAAAGTCAAACAAAATTGTCGACAAATATTAAAAACCAGCACGACTAAAAGATGCTTTCATTACATAAAAGGATCATAAAACTGCATGTGTGATTTGACTCGTTAACATTTTGGCAACAATACATTTAAAGGTGGGGTATGTAATTTATTTCAGAAACACTTTTTGTTATGTTCCATGGAATGCTCTTAACATCCCGATAGCAATGAATATATTAAATGCTTTGACAATAAATACATCAAAAAATGTAATCTGTGGAAGCCGTGGCGCTGTAAAAAGCACAAACTTATCTCGTGCCCTCATTGGTCATGTGCGCGTTCGTGTGTGTTGGAGGAGGGGCTCTGTAAGGAAGTGGCAGATTTTTTCCGGCTGTGTATTTTCAAATTCTAGCGCACTCGAGCTGGTTTCTCCAAAATTACCTACCCCACCTTTAAGGTGAAAGTATTTATGCAAATATCTTTTGTGACAACATTCTCTTTATGTAATAATAAATAATAATTCATTTATTTTATATAGGCGCCTTTGAAGGCTCTCAAGGTCGCCGTACAAGCACACAAAAAACAAGATACACAATACATAACACCAGCATAAGAAACGTAAACAAGACAATGCAGTATATAAAAATCTAATAAATAAAACAGGATGTGTGATGGATAATGATCAGGGTGGATATGCGACTGTGAAGAGATATGTTTATGTGGTGAAATACACTTATTAATTCCATTTATCTGCCTCTTGCTTTACCGCCCATCAGAATCTGCCTGAATACAACTCACAAACGATGGACGAGACGAGGAAGAGGACCGCTCTGGTGATGCAGACACTGAAGGAGGCTTCTGAGTGCAACGAAAACATATCACGAGGGATCGGAAGGAAGTGAACCTGTTGGAAAGTCTCTGTGTAGAAAATGCTACTGTCATGCAGGGCCTCATCCTGTGCAGAAACAGATGGACGTTATTTATTCCAGGGGAAATTGCTGTCTAATGTTCACTTCTATTGCTTCATTGTCTGTGACAACTTTATACTGTTGGATGTTAAAAAATATATATTAAAACTATCCAAACAACATATTTTCAGTCTTGTTGTAAGTTAGCTGGCCTGTACTACGAAGCCGGATTTTCGCTTAGCGAGCTAACTTCAGGGAAAACTCTGGGTTTCCGGTCCTACGACGCTGGTTCACTTCTTAGCGGGCTAGATCTCCATGGTAACTTATGCTGAATGGCTAGCCTGGTCCGGAGGAGGTTAGGTTCCAGGATAAGAGATCAACTCAGTGAAAGCACCACCTGCTGACCAATCAGAGCTCAGTGTGCCGAGTTTAAAGATATCAAGTCATATTACAGGATTAAGGAAATACAGTTTAAACTGCCGTTGCAGGAAAGACGGCCGGCAAAAATCACCGACTGTGAACGTGAAAATTAATAGAATATCCCCTCCCATCTTCAGAGCAATCTGACTATTATAACATTAACGTTAAGAAAGCTTACTTAAATATCTGCCTCAACATAAGTAACCGGATCAGAGTAACATTAAGTACAGTCCGTGGCACTGTGAGTGCAGACGTCGATGTGTCCCATTATCATTCATATCATATCACATCATAATGTATCCTATATTTCCTTATTTGAGTCAGCTTCTTGAGCCGTATCTGGCCGTGCAACACTTACAGTGTCACATACTGTATGCAGAAGTATTATTTTAAGCAACACATTAAGTTGACGAAACACTCGAGTCAAATGTAATTAAAGTCAGATCGTGTCTTAGACGGGGCATATCATAAACCTGTTAATGTACGCATTCAAACGCTTTTTCTGTTACCAGCTTTATTCACCTTGCAGGTGCAGCTATGTGGCTTTTATCCTGGATAAAGTGTTTAAGTCATGGATGTTTAAAGTTTAACGTCTTCATATTTGTCTAATATTATAGATTACTTTTCATTCAGGAAGTATGACGCTGCGCTGTCAGTGCGCTTCTCCATGTTTGTGATTGGTCAAATGCTCCAAATACCACCCCTTTCATGTGAACGCGCACCTAACTAGATAGGGCAAAGCTGGCTTGAGTTACCGAGTTGATAACCAGCGTCGTAGGACAGTTTAGCGAGAGCGAGTTTGTTTTGGATTAGGTAAGCCGGGGTAACTCAAACATATCCAGGTTAGGTTGAACCGGCTTCGTAGTACAGGCCTCAGGAAAAGCTTGCTCCTATGTTGTCCAAAAACCTGTTAAATATGAACTCATAATTAAGCCACATCTTTTTCTTGGGTGACATGGCTGACACGCTCCTGCAGGCCTCACCAACTGAACCCCAACTCTTTATGGTTTGAAAAGTTCCTAGAAAAACTAGCTGAGATAGATAGATAGTTAGATAGATAGATACTCTATTTATCCCAAATGTATTTTGTTCTAGCAGCCGTGTCAAGCATTATACAAGTTTATAAATGTTTAAAAGATACAATATACAAATATAATAAAAATGTAAATTAGCGGCAACTATATACAAATTCACAATAGAAAATACATATATCACTAGACTGTCTAAATAATACACAATATAACTAAATATTGAATAAATGGAGTGCTCTACAATATACAGTCTCACTAGGCTACTGGAATATATAGAAATATACTACAGACACATTATTGCAATGGATTGAATATTCATTATAGTTGTGCAAAAAAGCTGTTGTGCAAACTGTTCTGGGTGATGGAAGAGTAGACACTTTACGAGCTATGGGGCAGTGAGTTCTCTGCCAGCCAGAGGTGAGCTGTTATAAAGTCTTATGGCTGTTGGCAACAATGTTTTCCTTTATCTCTGTGTGACAGAGGAGCTGGAGTAGTTTGTAGAGAAGGAGCTCCTGTCTGTCCAGCTGCAGGTGGAGAGGGGGGGTGGGGTTATCTGTCTGTCCAGCTGCAGGTGGAGAGGGGGGGGGGGGGTTATCTGTCTGTCCAGCTGCAGGTGGAGAGGGGGGGTGGGGTGGTATCTGTCTGTCCAGCTGCAGGTGGAGAGGGGGGGGTGGGGTATCTGTCTGTCCAGCTGCAGGTGGAGAGGGGGGGGTGGGGGTTATCTGTCTGTGCAAGGTGGAGAGAGGGGGGGTGGGGTTATCTGTCTGTCCAGCTGCAGGTGGGGGGGGGGCCGGGTGGGGGTTATCTGTCTGTCCAGCTGCCAGGGTGGAGAGGGAGGGTGGGTGGGGTTATCCATGATTGATTACAGTTTGTTTAAAGTCCTCCTCCACCCAAATTCTACCCAATTGTCCAGTTTGACACATGATGACAGAGCCAGGCCTTCTTCAATCCGTTTATTTGATTCTGCTTGGTATCCCCGGCCTCTGATGCTGCCCCCCCAGCAGACCCGCAGCCCCCCCGCAGCAAAGTAGATGCTGTACTGGCAACAGCAGACTGGTTATAGAAGATCTCCAACAACCAGACTGGTAGAAGGGATCTCCAACAGCAGACTTGTAGTACTAGTAGTAGAGATCTCCAAACCCAGCATGACCGTGGTTAGAAGATCTCCAACAACAGACTGAGTTAGAAGATCTCCCACAGAAGACTGGTTACGAAGCATCTCCAACAACCAGACTGGTTTTTAGACATCTCCAACAGAAGACTGGGAGAAGATCTCCAACACACAGACTGGTCGAAGATTCTCCAACAACAGCACTGGTAGAAGATCTCCAACAACAGACTGGTAGAAGATCTCCAACAGCAGACTGGTAGAAGATCTCCAACAACAGACTGGTAGAAGATCTCCAACAGCAGACTGGTAGAAGATCTCCAACAACAGACTGGTAGAAGATCTCCAACAACAGACTGGTAGAAGATCTCCAACAGCAGACTGGTAGAAGATCTCCAACAACAGACTGGTAGAAGATCTCCACAAACAGACTGGTAGAAGATCTCCAACAGCAGACTGGTAGAAGATCTCCAACAGCAGACTGGTAGAAGATCTCCAACAACAGACTGGTAGAAGATCTCCAACAACAGACTGGGTAGAAGATCTCCAACAACAGACTGGTAGAAGATCTCCAACAGCAGACCTGGGTAGAAGATCTCCAACAACAGACTGGTAGAAGATCTCCAACAACAGACTGGGTAGAAGATCTCCAACAGCAGACTGGTAGAAGATCTCCAACAACAGAGTGGTAGAAGATCTCCAACAACAGACTGGTAAGAAGATCTCCAACATCTTGCTGCACACGTTGAAGGATCTCAGCTTCCTCAAGAAAATAGAGTCTGCTCATCCCCTTCCTGTACACAGCCTCAGGTTTGCTCCTCCAGTTTCAGTCCGTTGTCTAAGTGCACTCCCAAGGTACTTGTAGTCCTCCACCACTGCAACATCCTCTCCCAGAATGCACAGGGGCTGTGGACGTCCTCTTCCTCCTGAAGTCAATTACCATCCCTCTGGTCTTAGCTACATTCAGAAGCAGATGATTTCCTCCCCACCACTATACAAAATCCTTCACCAGTGCGAGTGAGACATCTTAAGGATTTTGTCATGTATGTGCTTAGGTTAGGCAATAAGATGGGGGGAGATTAACACAATTGACAGTGCTGGATAGTGCCAGTCTTATCCTTGAAGTAGGCTACTATACTTCAATAGTACTAGCTGCAGCCCCGGAAGACTGCAGTTTCAGGACCGCAGTCATGGGACCGCACTCCCTAGGGACCCCTAGTTTGTTTTGCAACATCGCCACCTAGCGAATTGGATGCCCGCAAAAGTACAACCAGCGAGTATGAGTCTCATACACAGCGTGTCCTCTTTAGACATTGTAATGCTTATTAACGATCTAAAAATGCATGAAAATATGGTTTTTTTCTTACAGAAATAAATTATTATTAACAACAATTTGTTGTTAATATGTTTTTTTTTGTAAATAAACAAATGTATTTTGTATGTCAGATGTAAAAAGATAGTCTTTTTATATGTGTCTTATTCAAATTTAACATGCAACGTAAATGTATCAATATATATACATATTGTAAGTAATAATGATATAATCTATTTATAATTGTAAATGTCTATTGTATGTAGACATACATTAGATGTATATTTTGTTTAAAAGAAAAGAACAAATGTTAATTTAGTTTTTGGGAGAAGGGGTGGGATTAAATACGTGTAAACTCCTTCCCACGCCTTTTCGGATGTGTAATTAGGTAGATCATTTTGTTTATATATAATTTGTAAGTCAATAATATTTAGTTTATCAATTTTGATACTGCTTACGTTTCTACAGTATCATAAATTTCTCTCTTGTTTCATTTTCATTATTATAAATTTTGTATTTTTTTTGTATTGCACGTTCAAAATATATCAAATCAAATGTGTCTTTGAAGAGGTGCTTGATTACTCAAAAACAAAAAACAACTGTTAAGTGTGTGTTCTGCACCTGGCTGCCAAAGATAAACATGCCTCAGTGCAGAATCAATTTGTATGTATTTAGTAGACGGGCACAATTTCCTGAACACGGACACGGAATGACGTCTGGAGTCCAGCAGTCTTTGAGTTCCTCTGAGCCTTCCTCCTTGAAAGTGGAGAGGACGCTGAGGATTCTTCTTCACTGGGGTGAGGCGGGTGTCTGTTGTTCCCTCAGTCACCAGAAAACAGCTCCAGTGCAGTAGTACTCCGGGGAAGCCCTCTTCGGAGTAAAAAACCCTCCAAGATTCCTCGCCGTCCACTTCTAACAAGTGGTAACCTACAGAATAGGCCGACATAATAACTGACTAAAACACCTCATGCAATATTACAAAACATGTCAAAATGATGAGACTGTCTGATAAACAGTAAACAGGCAGTCAGTACAGTTAAGATGATTTACAATGAATTCAAATAGTAATACAATGATTATTAAAGAAGCATTTACACTGAAGACAGAACTTAGGCTACTGCTGATTTAATGTAGTGGACAGACAGATCATATTGACATGCTTTTGTCATCCTTTGAAGTTTAATTAATTAGCTGACTATAATTAATGATCAGTGTTGGGAAGTTTACTTTTGAAATGTAGTAGGTTACAGATGACTAATTACCCTGTGAAAAATGTAATAAGTAATGTAACTGACTATGTACCTATTTGTA